GTTTTGGCTGGAGTTGGGGTTTAAATCTTAGCTGTAAATCGAAGTAAATAAAATACCTGGGCAGGTCTTATTTTGACAGAGACGGGTCTCAGATTCTTCTCCCTGGCAATACAATCCACCATTTGCTGGGGCTGGATTGTCACACAACCGCATCCGCATCCGTTTTTGTACTCCTTGACCACAAGTCACACTGCAGGATTGCCATGGCAGCCATTCGGAAAATCCACCGTGAACTATAAAATAGTTATAAATCTTGCTGATGGCTTTTGTGAAAAGAACGTATTTTGGTTTCAACTGTCAGAGTTAATGCTTATGCATTGATTTATTGAGGCAAAAGATTCAGACAGAGTGAAGATTCACCTTTTAAAAAAGTTTAACCCCTTCGGGCCTTAGAGTAAAACAAATCTTAATGCCTAAGTAAAATTTTGCAACTTTGACATGTGTTAGTAAAATCGTATATATCATCACAACTACTTTGTGTATCCAAGTGGATTATAGCTTGTTTTTTTTCCCCAAGACATATTGGCCTTTCATTTAGTGGTAAATCGTAATGGCTAATTGAAATCACTTATAACCCGCGCTCGGATACTCCTTGATAAATAATACCAAAAAAATGGGCTAAAATATACAGCTGCTGCTTCTGTGAAGGTACTGACCTTTAAACTAGATATTATAGCAAGGAAGCGCTGCCCAATTAAATGTGCAAATACCTCATAATATACATGTCAGTAAATTCATGCAATGTGCTCTATATAATAATATTCTTGTAAAATACACCATCACAATAATTGTATGGACAAATAATTAATTAATTTAAATTGATATAGTCTCTTTATGTGCAAACGTGCAATATTTCTTCATAAAGTGCAACAAATCCTTAGTGGTCCTCTCCGGTAGTCCCATTTACTCACCAACTCAAGTGGACTCTTATTAAATACAAGCGTCTATCGTACTTGTGTGTTTAGATGGGTTCATCTGGGATTTGTAGTTCTCCTTGGGTTCAAGTCCTTTTTCCGATCCCCAGCTGCCACATTCCCACTCACGGATATAAACTCCTCATATAGTTATATAATAAAGAGAAAAAGGGGGCCCACATAGTGAAATACCATTTATTTTAGTTAAAAGCAAAATTGTGTTCCACTCACATGTAATGACAGATTAGTAAGAATACAAACACCGGACCAAAAGTAGCGCACCTGCATGCGCTTCACCGACGTGTTTTGCCCCTCCTATGCCCAGTGGGAATCAGAAAAAGGACTGGACCCCTAGGTGTACTGCAAATCCCAGACGAACCTATCTAAACACACAAGCGAGATAGACTCTTGTATTTAATAAGAGTCCACGTAAGTTGGTGAGTAAGTAGGACCACCGGAGAGGTTTGCACATAAAGAGACTATATCAATTTAAATTGATTAATTAATTGGCCATACAATTATTGTGATGGTGTATTTTGCAAGAATAGTGTTATATAGAGCACACTGCATGAATTTACTGACATGGTCATTATGAGGTATTTGCACGTTTAATTGGGCAGCGCTTCTTTGCTATAATATTTAAAGGGTAATGGATAGCTCCTGATTTTTATTAAAGAAAAACTGTCCCAAAATAATACAAAAAAAAAACATTTTTTTTTAAATTTAGCTGTGTGTTTATTGTTACTACCGTAACCTACTACCAAAGAACAACCCAAAATACATTTTCATGACGATCGCAGTGATACCACACATGTGTATTTTATTTGTTGTTTGTACCCGTAGTGAAAAAAATGTTTTTTAAAAGTTTTTTTAAATCCTGACATTTGACCGTGACCTTGACCCAAACACTAACCCTGACACTGACCTAGATCAAACCTTGATCTAGGTATTTTTTTTTTTAATTTAAAATGTATTTATTTTTCTTTTTTTTTTTTACACACTGTTTTTTTCTCTCTGCAAGGAGATAGAGAGACACACTATATCTCTCTCTTCCATTTAGAGAGAAAGAAAATACAGGGGCAGGCTTTACAGTGACTGATCACTGTGATAGCCAATCAGAGGCTATCACAGCAATCAGGTGACCTGAAATCAGTAGTTCCAGGTCCTGATCGTTAGTACGGGACCCGGAGCTCACAGTGACACCCCAGTCTTTGTGCTGAAAGCGCACCGTGCACAAAGACAGATATGCAAATATGTGGCCCCACAGAAAAAAGCCCAGTTCTATTTGTGTGATGTCCGCACCAAGGAGTTAATAAAGAACTCCAACCATATACAGTAACTACACCAACCCAGTGTGCTAGAAACCAGCCCTCTTCTGCTAATGTGCAAACATTAAAAACAATTAGAAGACGCTCCTATTTAGCATTCCATAGCTGCAGAAATCAAAGCTGCATTTCCTTAAATTGTATTAAACCCAAAACAAAAATGTAATTATATTCAAACTTACCAATTCTTGTTTTTTTTTTATTTAGTTTTTTTATTTTATTTTCATCTGGTAATCCAGCTAGTAAATCTGTTATTTTCAACTTCCTTTAACAGACTACACTGCCCAGCAAAAGTGGCAATTAGAGGATTACAATAAAGCCTTTTAAATTGACAGGGGTGCTTATAATGGTTAACTTTTATTGATTTATGTAAAATTCTTTATCCAAAAGGAAAAAAAAACTATTGATGTAACTGATTTAAAAGAATTTTGGCTGTGATTTAATAGTCAAGTTCATCTAAATCTGTGAGTGCATCTAACACTAATGTCTCCCCAGATTGCCAATGCTGATGTCCAAAGGTTTTTCAATAAATGTTGCACTCCTAATTATTATCACTTATTACCAATATAGTGATTGAACAAATATCAAAATATGTGATTTAGAGCAAATTCATAACAAACAAATATAAATTACAAACAAATAAATATTAAAACATAAACAATAAAAAATAATAAAAAAACAAACAAAAAACATAAAGTATCTGATAACTTATTAGTGATAGTCCCAAAATATAATGTGATCCAAAAACAATTAAGAAAGTGAATAAAAAATATGAAAAAGTCTCTATTATTATAAGAGTGATAAATCCCAATAAAAGTGATCAAAAATAAGTGATTGTGATTCCCAGTGACTCCTTATTGTGATTAGGTTATGCGCTCACCTCCTTTTCAGCGCTGCACACATAGTATACTCGCCATCCACGGGTGTGCAGTGCCCTCTTAGTCCCTCCCCTACGCGTTACGCCGCAGGTCACGCAGCTTCATCAGGGGTTTGTGATTGCAATCACAACCCCCTGATGAAGCCTCGTGACCGGTGGCATAATGCGTAGGGGAGGGACTTTGATGGCACTACTCACCCGTGGACAGCGAGTATACTATGTGTGCAGCGCACACAGTAATCTGCAGTTGTTTTTTAAACAAAGCGGTTTCTTATCATACTTAATGTGAGTGCATTTGGGCACACAATAAAGCACTTTTAAACTTTAAAAGGATAAGGCACTATGTCTGTATTTTGTTCTACTGAGGAACATTTAAGGAAGAGATATGGAGCAGGAGAAGGAGTGAAAGATCCCTGTGGGGATAGTGGCAAGGAGGATAAGAGCATTGGAAAGCAATTAAGGGATACCCACCACTCTTCACATGGTGCAACAGAATATCTAAAGTTCCATAGGTGAACAAAAAGCGAAGTAAGCCTATTAACAGGCTGAAACGGAGGTGAGCGCATAACCTAATCACAATAAGGAGTCACTGGGAATCGCAATCACTTATTTTTGGTCACTTTTATTGGGATTTATCACTCTTATAATAATAGAGACTTTTTCATATTTTTTATTCACTTTCTTAATTGTTTTTGGATCACATTATATTTTGGGACTATCACTAATAAGTTGTTATGAGAGACTTTATGTTTTTTGTTTGTTTTTTTTTTATTGTTTATGTTTTAATATTTATTTGTTTGTTGTGAATTTTGCTCTAAATCACATATTTTGATATTTGTTCAACAACTATATTGGTAATAAGTGAGAATATCTAGGAGCGCAACATTTATTGAAAAATATTTTTTGGTATGCACACATGATATGAGGATGTGCTTTATGTCAGCGATCCTTATTTGATTCCATTAAGTGGCTCACAAGTAATATTTAAATTTGATGTCCAAAGGTGTCACCATTGCTTCTCCTTCCAGAGTTGAGACCCTAAGATAGGAAGTGTGTTACTACCCAGATCACCTGGTGAAAATAAAGGAAGCAAAAACCACTGAAAAGAAAACGAATTCAGCCACCACACTTAAAGACTGGCAAGCTGCAATAAATTCCATTTTTGTTTTGTGCTTAATACAGCTTTAAGTGACCTTGCCAGGGTGCCCTGGAGGAGTGACCACTAGGCAAGGCCAATTACTCGCCATCTGAGCCTTAGTACTGCTTGTCCCCTTTGGCTAAGATAATGCATGGTAATGCACAACTAATTATTAAGGAATATCAGTTATGCACATTAATTAGAAACTGAAAGAAAATAGTTGCAAAACTGTTGTATATGGAAGTGACCTGGTAATTCTGGTGAAAACAACTCAGGAGTTCCCAAGAAGCATATGAAGCTGGGGGATGTTTAATATGTTCTGCATTTTTCAGTGCTGAAATGTAAGATTTACTACACTATATTTTAAAAAATAATTTGATGTTGTTTTAACATTTTCTTTTTGTTAGTGAATGGTTCTTTGTAGTTAACGCAGGTCCAATAGCCTGATCAAATTTAGTAAATTACTTGCTCACATTTTGCTAATAATATGCTACATCATTTATGTGAATAGGGTCTCCTTTTGATAGGAAAAATAATGACCTTATGATCTTTCCTACTAATAACATTGGCATGGCTGGTATAATACTGGCACAACATGTGCGTTTTATATTGAATGTTGTGTATTGCTATTTAATATTTAGATAGTGTAGTAAAGTACCTTGAACAATGAAAGAAGACTTAGCCACAGCTGATCCCATGACATTCGTAGCCCTGCATTCATACACTGATGTATCTTCTTTACGAACAGCGACTATATGCAGAGATTTATTTGACAATATTGAAAACCGGCTATCCCCAGAAATAGGACGAGTAAGACGAGACCAAACAATGTCAGGAACTGGTTCTCCTTCTGCCTGACAGATCAAAGTCACAGATGTACCAGCGTTCACAGTCATGTCAACTGGAGGAATCTTTATAACTGGAGGTTCTGTCAAGTAATTAAATGAAGAATCAGAATGTTATACACTGGTGACTACGGACCTGACAGAAACTCACAACAGTGTTTTTATCATTAGTTCAGAAATAGCATGTACTTTACTTCTATTAAGTGTTAAAATTTTTTAAGTGAATTTAAAGTTAACACTTTTTTTCTAGTTTTTGCTAGAGTAGGGAACAGTTAAAACTCCTGTCAGCTTTCTGCTACCTCTGGTCCACTGGGGAGATTTCCTTTTACTTCCTGTCCTAGGTGTCACGATCGCGGTGTCAGACCCCAGCCCTCCTCACCAAACTTGTGACCGAAGGACTAGCCAATCTAAAACCGCGACGTCACGTGCGTAACAATGCCACACTCAGCTGCACCCTGCACAACGAATTTCCAGCTAATTGGACCACAATCAATGCACTGGCACCCTGAGCGATTGTTACTGGGTCAGGTTAATTATGCAATTAACCCTTCACACTGCCACCACCTCCTTTTTGTACAGAGAAAGAGGAAACTCGGCGATATCAGCTAAAACACTATAATGGTTGAGATAATCGTCTTCATAATACGGTCATACAGAGGGTTAAACAAACACAGTAGCGTTCTCTTTAGAGGCAGAAATTCGTAAATTGCAATAAAGCGCTATAGAAACAGTTCAACACTATCAGAAGGAAAGATTTATTACTAAAAGGTCAAAGGGTGCAATAAAAATATTTACAGAAAAGAGGTAACTAAGATATATATACAGTATAAACATACAGAGACCAACAGCACAGCAAAGAGATATCAGAGAGAGGTGAAAGGGTTAAGGTACTTGCCAAAGTCCTGGGTTAGCAGATCCAAGTTTCAGAGCAAAGGGGCACGGGTCTCCCCAGGTGGTATTGATGTTAAAATGGGAGATGTCTTCAACTCAGCTCTTAGGCCTGACAGCTTATTTTGTAGTTCCCCAGCAGGGGGTGTCTCTGAAGTCAAGGACCAATACCCCATTTAGGCGTGTAGGTATGGGAGGATACCTCAACTAGAGCCAAAATCTCCCATAACTCATATTTTGGCCCATAACTGTCCATCTGCACAAGTGACATTCCACCCGCGGGTAGATTATTATGCAGACACGTCTGAGGATTGATTAGATATGAACTATGAAATTATACACTGAACGGTTCACAAGATCTATTTTTCGGCCTTCCTATGTATTCGAGACAATGCGAGTGACCTACCAAACTGTTCGCCTTCTCGTGGCCAACTGACGATATGCCCGGTTTTTATGTAAGTCTCTCATATTCCAAGATATGAGACATAGGGGAAAACTGGATTTTAACAAGTGTTAGCTGGTCCCACCTTCCTTGGAATGTCGTGAACTCCAGGGAAAGCTTGCCTTATCTTATACGAGATGTTACATTTTACAGGTTCTTCAGACAGCTAGGCCCCAGCTCCCTTGGGGACTTTATAGCTCCTTGCCCCTGTGCTGGGCCCTGGCCTCCTGTGACACTCCTACACACATACACACTGGCCAAATGTCGCTGGGACTCTCAGAAAGGGAGAGGGGAATGAGGGGGAAATATTGTTGTCAGGATAGTTAACCCATTTGCCAAGATGGAGGTCCTTCACAAAATGGAGGACTGCGTCAGTCTCTGGGTATACGCTGTTACACTAGGGATGGAAGAAGAAATAAGAAATCTCTCAACAATGAATTGAAGTCCCATCTTGGATAGTTTCCATATGAACAGGTGTCTCTAATGGATAATTATGCCCTAACAACTTTGTATTCATAGGTCGGTTGTAATAGCTTGAGAAAGACCCAATCCAAAAAATAGCCTCTCTTCCTAATATCTGAGGGAAAGTGCTCTTTATTCCATAAGCATGATATTTATACTCAACATGGAACCAGTAAAAAATGACTTACCTTCCTGATCTACTGTATATGCTGTCTGATCCCTATGTTGGATAATTTTTGGACTTAGTGAACTATTTAGTAAGCACTTTTTGGATTGAGTCTTCCCAAGGCATGCCAAATGACTTATGAACAAGAAAGATGTATTTTTTTTATGCGTTTGCGTAATACTGGCTGTTTGGGTAAGTTACCTTTTAGCAATTAGATTATTCTTAGATGTGAGTTATACAATATGCAGGGCTCTGCTTAGTTTTTAAATGTTTTTTGAGGAGTTGGAACATGAATCAAATAAATAGCATGGATTTAAAATCTGTTACTTTTTCCTGATTATAAAATGTACTGTATATAATATATAGAGAAAATATACACTATATTGCCAAAAGTATTGGGACACTCCTCAAAATCAATGGATTCGGGTGTTCCAATCACCTCCATGGCCACAGGTGTATAAAATCAAGCACCTAGGCGTTCAGACTGCTTCTACAAACATTTGTGAAAGAATGGGTCACTCTCAGGAGCTCAGTGAATTCAAACATTATACTGTGATAGGTTGCCACAGGTGCAATAAGTCCATCTGTGAAATTTCCTTTCTACTAAATATTTCATGGTCAATTGTTAGTGGTATTATAACAAAATGGCAGCAACTGGGAACAACAACAACGCAGCCATGAAGTGGTATTATTATTATTATTACATCGAGTTTATATAGCGCCAAAGGGTTTGCTCAGCGCTGTACAATAGAGGGGGGGGGGACAATACATGAAACAGTACAGCAACTACAAACAGCACACGAGGGGTTAGAGGGCCCTACTCTTTCGAGCTTACAATCTAGGAGGGAGGGGGTAGTGGTACAGGAGGAAATGGCTGTGGGGGATGGAGTGGTAGGAGGAATGAAGGAGAATGGCTGTTAGGTGAGGGTGGGGTAGGCTTCCCTGAAGAGGTGGGTTTTCAGGGAGCGCCTGAAGGTGAGGAGGGAAGGTGACAGTCTGATGGATTGGGGTAGTGAGTTCCAGAGGATAGGGGAGGACCTGGAGAAGTCTTTCAGACGTGCGTGGGAGGAGGAGACCAGGGAGAAAGATAGAAGGAGGTCCTGTGAAGAGCGAAGGGTACGGCCAGGGTGGTACCTGGGAATCAGGTTGGTGAGGTAGTTAGGGGCAGTGTTGTGAATGGCTTTGTAGGTCAGAGTGAGTAGTTTGAATTTGATGCGTTGGGCGATAGGGAGCCAGTGGAGGGATAGGCAGAGGGGGGTGGCAGAGGTGGAGCAGTTGGTGAGGTGGATGAGTCTAGCCGCTGAGTTCAGGATGGTCTGAAGCGGGGAGAGCCTGCACTGGGGTAGGCCGGTGAGGAGGGAGTTGCAGTAGTCGAGGCGTGAGATTATCATGGAGTGTACGAGTAGTTTAGTGGTGTCTGGGGTAAGGAAGGTGCGTATCTTGGCGATGTTGCGAAGGTGGAGCGTGCATGTGTTTTGTAAGTGATTTGACATGAGGTTGGAAGGAAAGGTTTGAGTCCAGAATGGCGCCAAGGACTTTGGCCTGCGGGGCGGGATTGATGGTGGTGTTGTTGGTAGTGGTGGGGGGGGGGCGGGCGGGCAGGGGGGAAGACGAGAAGCTCGGTTTTGGAGAGGTTAAGCATGAGGAAATGGAGCGACATCCAGTCAGAGATGTCGTTTAGGAGGTGAGTGATGCGGGCGGAGAATGTGGGGGTGAGGTGGGGGGTGGAGAGGTAAATTTGAGTGTCATCAGCGTGGTAAGCCACGTAAAATGACAGAATGGGGTCAGTGCAGAAGTCGCCAACTGTCTGCAGAGTCAATAGCTACAGACCTCCAAACTCTGTGTGGCCTTCAGATTAGCACAACAACAGTGTGTAGAGAGCTTTATGGAACGGGTTACCATGGCCGAGTAGCTGCATCCAAGCCTTACATCTCCAAGTGCAATGAAAAGTGTCGGATGCAGTGGTGTATTCTTTGGAGTGGCAAATCATGCTTCTCTATCTGGCAATCCAATGGATGTGTCTGGGTTTGGCGGTTGCCAGGAGAACGATACTTGCCTCACTGCGTTGTGCCAAGTGTAAAGTTTGGTGGAGGGGGATTAAGGTGTGGGGTTGTTTTTCAGGGGTTGGGCTTGGCCCCTTAGTTCCAGTGAAGGGAACTCTTAAGGCATAAGCATACCAAGGCATTTTGGACAATTTCATGATCCCAACTTTGTGGGAACCGTTTTGGGATGGCCCTTCCTGCTCCAACATGACTGCGCACCAGTGCACAAACCAAGGTCAATAAAGACATGGATGAGCGAGTTTGGGGTGGAGGAACTTGACTGGCCTGCACAGAGTTCTGACCTCAACCCGATAGAACACCTTTGGGATGAATTAGAGTGGAGATTGTGAGCCAGGCCTTCTTGTCCGACATCAGTGCCTGACCTCACAAAAGACAGGCGTCCCAAGGCCCAATGCCGCAAGGCCTGAAAAAAAAAAATAATTTTCTTTACACAAGAAAGGTGAAGGCTACAAGAAGATCAGCAAAGCTTTACTTATCAGTCAGAATACTGCAAAAGTGATACAAAATTTAACAAGATGGAACTGCAACCATCTCACAAAGATGTCAAGGCTGTCCATGGAAGTTAACACCTCGACAGGAGCGTCTTCTGATGAGAAGGGTAGAAGAAAATTGCCATGCAAGTTCACTGCAGTTAGCTAAAGAAGTAGAAAGCTAAACTGGGGTGATTGTTTCCTGTGACACAATATGGCGTACATTGCAGAGGAATGGCATGCATGGGTGTCCTCTATGAAGGAAGCCTCTCCTAAAGCCCATGCACAAAAAAGGCCCACCTAGAATTTGCCAGGACCCACGTGGGAAAAAAAAGACTACTGGGACTCTGTACTCTGGAGTGATGAGACCAAGATAAATGTTTTTGGAACGGATGGCTTTAAAACTGTATGGCGTCGCAAAGGTGAGAAGTACAAAGAAAAATGCATGGTGCCTACAGTGAAACATGGTGGTGGTAGTAAATAGAGATGAGCGAATCGAACCTGGCGAAGTGGAATTCGTTTCGAATATCAGGAAAAATTCGATTTGCATCGAATCCGAATTTTAGCAAACTTTGGGTGCACGAATCAAATT